GTCGTCCAATGGTCAAACATGACCCAAACTTAAGAGATCTTAGCACTGAAACCCATGAAAACTGGACAATCATTGTTTCTGAATCAAAATAGTTACCATTTGGTTATGACTAACATAGCCAGGAAAATGGTCCTCCCTTATAGATGGTTTACCTATTAAACATGGTGATTTTCCATTGCTTCTGAAGCACTACCAACGTGGATTGCTGAGGAGCGGTGAAGCATCGGGCCGAGATGCAGGTCAAATTGCCCCGTTGCCCCGGTGAACCCCAAAATTGCTGGTGAATAGTAAATAGATGCAAATCTCTTCCTTAATATGGTTCAATCATGTTTTATCACTGTTTTATATAAAGGTTTTGACTTTTGTTCACCAGTCCATAGTTTATTCTAACTTTTTTAAAACTTGAAAAAAAGCGCGACAAATGCTAAAAAAATGGAAAAAAACAAAAAGCAAATCAGCAAAATCCAAAAAACACAAAAGCAAAATAAAAGGGGAAAAAAGGGGAAACAAAGGAAAGTCAAAAAGAGAAAAAAACATGAAACATAATGATTTGTCCATTTGCATTTTTTTCGCACTTATTTTGCTTTTTCGATTTGCCAAAAAAAGAGAAATAAAAGCAAATAAAAAACAAATCTAATTTTTTTTCCCTTTTTGACGTTCCTTTTTTTCCCCATTTATTTTGCTTCCGGTTTTTGCAGTTTTGAAGTTTTGGTTTTTGATTTTCCATGTGTTTTCTTTTTTCTTTTGCATTTTTTCAAGTTTAAAAATCTTTAGAATAAGCCATAGAGGAGAACATAAGTTTTGACCGAAACACACCGAAAGCGACATCATTTCAGAACCCCAACCATTTTTCTGTGTGCGGTCTCCCCGTTTCAATGACATAAATAAAGCCGGTTTCAGTTGGACGACGTACCGCCGGTTTCATCTGACGACATGTTACCGTGAATCCGATCTCTATGGGTTTGATGAAAACGACCAATGCCTCTGGGTTTTTTGGGCCTAAGAGTCTAAAAAAGATTGACCCCATATCCGACATGAGAAAATCCTACAGACATCAGCAACTGCTCAGTTTTTTTTTTTAGTCGTCAATCATGGCAGCATGGAAGTCCCAATGTGTTTTTTGAAGTTTAAAGAAGATCATTCTTAGCTGACCCCAAATTTAGGACCGTCCAGTGCCAGGTGCCACTGCTCAAGAGACAGCTGATGAGGACTGGATTGGGGGTGGCTTAAAACATGGTCAAAACATGAAAACATGTCAAAAAGGGATCATGCCAGGTGGATGTTGTTTGTTTTTTTTCTTTTTTTATATGCAGTTTTGCAGACTTCGGCAGTTGAAAAATGCGAGTTCCAAGTGAGCAATGGCCCAAATTTATCCAAACTTGCAGATTGAAGTCCGGCACTGACCTGTATAGGTCATTCATAGCACAGAAAACTCACGATATCACGACAAAGTAATCCAACCCCATTACACATGGAAGCTCCAGAATTTTGGGTCTGATGGTCTGGGGGTGATTGATTTTCCAACCGAACATGGCCTGTTTTTGGGCTTTCATGGAGCCCTGAAGCTGGCCGAAGGAATCACCTGGAGGGTTATTTTCCGATGCGTTTGGAGCCCCGGAAATAGCCACGGGTTGAGCAACTGGCCTTGGATGATCCAGTTCAAAAAAGGTTTCTAGTAAAACATTAAGGGTACTCTCCATTCCTACCCCAAAATTATTGGAAGAGTTATTAAATGATTTATTGTATACAGTATAGTTATTTGATGGGTCACTCCAGCTTCCTGAATCCCAACAGGCTGTAGTTTCCTCTTGAGATTAGATTGACACGTGACCTACGGGTGTGACGTGGCAAGTGCTGCTCCCATTTGAAACATACAGTCACCGGAACGAAGTGTGACCTCCTGTTTTCAAGGAGATTCCTGTTACAACAATAATGAAACATAGTCACGAACTCCATGTCATCGTGCTTGATCCCACTCTTCACCGTCCAGGTGTTTGCACTATCAATGAATCCCTGGTTGGTGCTTTGGAACATGTTTTATTTTTCCAGAAAAATTGGGAATTTCATTATCCCAACTGTTACTCACACTCCATGATTTTTCAGAGGGGTAGTTCAACCACCAACCAGATGATTATTCACCATCATGAACCATCATTAACCATATATTAACCATATATTATCCATTATTAACAGTATATATTCCCATTAGATCCCATTAAACCACCATTAAAAATCCCATTCAACCACCATTAAATGCCATTCAAATCGGGCGCCTCCATGGGATCCAAGGGCCACCAAGGTGGTGGCCGGAGGTGGCACAACGCTGCCACCAACGTTTGGCCCAGCGGCCCCAGACCCTCCCCGAGGCGAAATTCAAACGGAAGCTGCGAAATCTCTTTGGCGATGCGGGAGATTGGGTGTACTGTATATGTTGTGATATATATATATATAATATGATATATATGTCAATGTAAGTACAGTGATACTCATTTCTATAAGATTATGAAGTATTGTTCATATCCGACATATCCATAGGATACAGTGTTTGATACAATATGATACAATTAATAGAGGCATGGGAGATCGATCATGGATATCATTGTGCAATCGCACGGAAATTTCAGTACGATTTAGACAGACAGCATAATTTCTTGTCACTGATGTTTCAGGGAACATCTACCAGGGTTTTCCCATGGTTTTCCCCATGAAATACCAGGGTTTTCTGTAAGATTTCCCTGGAAAACCAATCCACTGTGACCACTGGGATGCTGGCTTTGCAGGATCCAATGGCTCAGGGTGTTGTGTCTTGGGTTCGGGGGCCCCTGCTGGCGATCCTTTTTTAAACTGACGCTTGAGGGTAAGATATGGATGATTTACATGCTAGAAATGGAAGAAATGAATGATTTATACTCGATGATATAGTGAATTATTGTGCTTCGGCTTCAACTATCATAATCATCCCACTCTGGAGTGGAACAAGGATAATTGAAATTGATTGTATGAACCATAGTAATTAATGTGTACCAATTCTTCCAACTTCCAGTGTCTCGAAGAATGTCAATGTCACTCTTCGCAATCGTGCCATGATCAAGCTACTGAATGATATGCAAAGTTTGCCAGGATATTCATGTTGAATGTTCACTACTTCTTGTCTTTGATGATGGTGGTGATCATCACAATAATAACGGTTCAGCACTCATTCATGGAAAAGAACCTGACTGGAAATGGGATGAACCATTGATGCTCCGCAGGCATTGGTTCAATCCTAACGACATCAGGGGCGGTTGTAAAGCTGCGCTGTCGCATCGTCTCCTGTGTTTTGGCAAAACAATTAGGATCGTTTAGGCATCCAAGCTGGATAGATGTGGAGTAGCCTGAGTTGTGGGGTTTGGACCATCGAGCTAGATACCAGAGCTGACTTTTCTTGTGCATCAACAGAAGCATGGAAGGTTTCTGGTGCTGGGACTGTTGATTACTAAGTGTTTTGCTGAGCAGGCTGCACAAGATAGCTTTGGTTTTGTAAATGATAAAAGGATTGCCTGATCATTGCAAATTGCTTCAAGCAGTATCCCCTGAGAAATCCGCATCATCCAACTAAGGGAACAACCTATCTAACAGTCCTATGTTTGCTTGGTTCCTTTCCGCAATTTCCCTTGACTTTTGTTACTTGAAAGTGAGTCACAAGTTGGGCAACCTTAAAACTTTGCAAAATTCCGCCATGTGTTTAAGTGAGTCATGTTTTTTTTGTTTCCATACATTGTGTAGGGGGTCACTATGTGTCCATTGAGCTTTTGTGAAGGTCATTGGAGACTACCACCCAACCCTGTTATGTTCAAAAAAATATCGCATCCCTGCGTTTGCTCCCTTGTACATATATGCTGTACATATATATATATATACAGTATATAAATAACCAGATATATATATATACATTACACATATGCCCGCCATATTGTACTTTTGCAAGCTATGTTCTTATTTTTGCTATGGTCTTTGCGAAGGTGCAGATTACATCTATATTACTCATGTTTCCTGGTGGTATCCCCATGCTTCGCGGGTAGATCTGTGCAATTGACATATTCCGATCCACCCTGTGAACACGGGTTTCCCAATATATGGTTGAAGATGAATCAAGTCACCTGTTTTTATGGCAGTTTATGGAGGGTTTCCCCATATCCGGCAATCAAACGTGGCTGGAAATTCCCCATTTATGGAGGATTTTCCCAGCAACCCTCAAAACCCCTGTTGGTTGATGATTAGTTGGGGGATTATAACAATATATAACAATCCAAGAACGGGGAATCCCGTCAACCAGTATTTCATTTTGTATGACAGAGGGGTTTTGAACAGTGCTCATTTGATTACATTCCCATCAAGAACCGGTGCCGTTTGACCCACGGTCCCATAGTTGGCATCGCGATGGTTTCCCAGGCTATGCCGAAGGTGTCGCGTGGCGCGATATGGACCATGTAGCTTGCTCTGGAAGACATGCAAATAGAAAGCCTCTTTTTGAATCAAACATGGCAGTAGGATTGCCTATGTTTCTTTTGAATCAACTATGAATGGATATACTATAATTAGTTTGATAATTATAGTTTATCAATGTTTATCAACGATATTTCTTTGTTCAATCATCCATCATTTGTCAATGGATGTCAGCCAATGCTTTACTGGTCTGGGTTTATGTGGTTTGGATTCTCTGGATTTGCTGATGAAGGGGATGACAAAGCTATGTCAAATGACCTAAGAACATATCCGCCATGGGAATCAAACATAGCCATGGAAACCTCCATTTTAGATAAACTTAATTGCAGCAAACGTCTATGCATGGAGAGTTTTCGTTGTCAGGCTGGATGAAAAGGCGGCCAATCAAGACATTGATATGACACGGCATTGGGCATTCAAAGATATCCAAGTGCGGCAGTATCTAACACTTGTTCCCCTATGTTGCTTGGTGACATGGGTTGAGTTCCAACCAGCCAAGGTATCTAATCGTTTTGATGGACATGTTGAACTTCGGCATTGTCTTCCCGTTGCTGCCTTCCATTGCCGAAGAGTTCAACGCCAATGCCATGCAGGCCGCAGGGCTGACCTCTGGGATTGTGACATGTTATTTGATTGGAGGATGCTCACAGGCTACATCGAACAAATTCTACTGTATCTCCATCTGGGGATTTCCAAAAATGATTTGCTACCCCCAAATCATCAATAGATGGATTTCCATGAAATGAACCATCCATAAATTGGGATACTCCCATTGATGGAAACCTCCACATCTGGGTTGGATACATCCCGTCTGGCCTGGCAGGTTGGAAGCTTAGCCACCTTCTTTTCAGTCGCCCAGGTGTTGTTCACACCTATCCTAGGCGGGTTGGCCAGGGATGGTTCTCAGTATCTTGAATTGAAACACATGTTTGATCTTCCCTCATACAAATTGAACAGGAACTTGACGTTGAGGTCCTAGGTATGGGGTTGAACGGGGTTGAACATGGACATATGATGACATATGTGACATATATATATAATTATATATATATATATAATTATATATATATATACATGGAGACCCCAAGTATTTGCAATACTACAAATGTCCAGCTAGCGCCGTTTTGAAGATGTGTTGCCTCCTTTCATCAAATATGTTTTTTTTCCTGTATACGTGTGCTATCGTATGTTGTTATATTATATATGTTATATACACACATTGCATACACACATTACATACACATACATAATTCATGTATAATATATATATATATAATACTGTAGTAATTATAATATATAATATTACATGTATATATACTGCACTTTCTATACACACTATACATACACACGCTATAGACTATATAATTACACATATTATGATATGCATCCATATAATATAAATTATATATATATATATATATACATGTAAGTATACACAAAACAATATAAACACAGAGAGAGAGAGAGAGGGCATAATCACTTCCCTCTGGCATATCCATAAAAGATCGACGCGCAGGCTGGGCCTCAGACAAGTACGGCCGTCGCCCAGTGCTGCTGATTGCCATTGCAGGCACCACTGCCTCAACGGTGCTCACAGGATGCGCTTGGAATTTCGCCATCATGTGCTGCTGCCCAGACTGGAGCCAGCAGAGCCACCATCACACCCCCAAACGTCCATTAAACCATGATCTACCCTCTGGTTATGTCAAAATAGCTGTTGAAAATGGCCATTCATAGTGGATTTTCCCATGAAAAATGGTGATTTTCCATAGCTATGTTAATTTACCAGAGGGTATACTTGATGAGGGTAAACTGCTACATGAAAGTCAAGGGGTTGATGTTGCGGTGGTTGGAGTACCAACATGTTGAACAGAGAAACGAAAAAGAATGTCGTGAGCCTTGAGGGTTCTCAGCACGTACATTCGGTGTTGAAAGTGCTGGCGTGACCCAACTTTGCCTCAATTTGTATGTTGGCCACTCAATCCACTCAACATGTGTCCTCCTTAATTTGTTTTGACAAAGTATCTACCTGTCGATTCTTTGGCTTCTCTTAGTCGTTCAGTTGGAAAAACCAAACCTTTTCGACAGCCCTTGCAGCTGCGGAAATCCCCGGCGCCACTTTTTTCCAGCTGGGAGGTCTGGATGTGCCCCGAAATAAAGATATGCAGAGCTCATATGAGCCATTAAAAATACCCTGGTTAATTGATTGCTATAGGGGATTATACTATCTGGTTTACTGGGGATTATGATAACCCATAGTAGGGAAACCTATCAACCAACTAGTATATATAATGAGATGGGATAGGGTTTTTTTTAATGGCTCATATGGTATGGGTCAATACCTATAGATACCATTTTTAGTGGGATGAACATCCATTTTAACCCAGCTATGACTTGGGGTTCACTAGGTACCAGGGTTTTGACCCATCCCCATATGCAAGATGATCGGTACTGATCGGTTTTGGTTCTGATGTCCTGTATATTCCTGTATAATTTATATCTCCAATTCATGGGCCAACGTCCAAATTGTCTCTATCCTCAAAGCCCAGTTGATTCAACGATCATATTCTGAAATCCCCATATGATTCCCCCAGTTTTTTTGGCTCAAAGTTACTGTAAATGATAACCATGATTAACCATGACCCATTTGGTTTAAATCTATGATTCATCATAAATTGCCATGGTTAAACCATGGATTGCCATGGTTAAACCATAGATTTCCATGGTTAAACCATCCTCCATGAGGCTCACCTTCTTTTGTCCCTGGTGCATGGTGAAAAATCATCGCGTTGATGCGATGCGATGCTCCTCCGAGGTGCGCGGCCCGTGCCATTAACGGCGCCAGTGGTGGCACTGTGGGCATCGCCAATGCCTACATCGCGGATGCCGGAGACCCAGGGGCCCAGGGGGCCCAGAAAGTCACATCCCCGGGAAAAACTGGGGAGAATTTGTCATGAATCAGATATAGAACATGGAACTTGAACATGAGAAAATATGGTGTGAAGCATCAGAGAATTGGATTTAAGTAGATTTAAAGATTAGATACTTTAGATGAATATGGTTTAGACAAACTAGATGAATTCAGAGACATCAATTTAAACACATATTATCAAGCAAATGAATTAGACAATGAAATGAGATAGATATGAGACATAATTAGACGATCAGCAAACGATCAGCAACCGGTATAGTAATAAGTGAAGATAACAGTATGTTTGTCTATGTGTACGTGTGTCATGTGCAAATACAAATACACGTTTGCCTGCAATGAGAGAAACGATATCAATGCCTTTCACCTCAAATCTGGGTCAAGTCGGCAATTTTTCCTTTGGAACCATTTATTACAGCCATACGCCATACGCGATCTTTCAGGGGGTTAGAACTATGAGGATGTCGTCCTTCTATCCTTTGACCATCCAGGTACAGTACCCAATTTTGATGCATGAATTGAAATGTCTTGCAAATAAAGGAAGGTCAAACCCTGCTCAAACAAAATTCTAAATTGCCTCCAAAATTCTGAAAGCAAATGGGATCAAACAGGAACAAACAAACGCGGCTCATTCTGGCACGGTCTAGAAATTGTCTGCTCGAGAACTCCCAAAGACGAGTTGTGCTTGGCTATGTCTTAGGTGACGAATGCCGTGGAGAAACCCACGTACATTTCCTACCTCCAAGCTTGTATCTTGGAGATATTGCGATATGTTGATGCGATCTTGGGAAAGGAATGAGAAAAAAGGGAACATCTCTGCTTGCTTCATAGAACAGTCATCACATGAACAGACCGTACATGAGTAACAACTGGTTTACAAGCTGAATAACTATATACAGTAGTACATAGTAGTACTATCAACTAGGATCACTAGGATAATACCAGAAATATCTTGGAGAATCTTGGGATAGAGACCCACATATCCTGTAGCCTCTTTTCAATGCACCGAAGGCAACTCGGTTGGCATCATCATCGGCCCTGCCCTTGGTGGTTCCTTGGCCCACTTCGGCTTTGCGGTGCCCTGCTACGTCTCAGCCGCACTCAGTGGACGCTTGGGTGAACGGTACTTGGAAATCCGATGGACATGTTGATTGTTGGCTATCCAAATGATTCATATATATATATATACATTAATATATATATATATATACATATATATATACATATATATATATATACATATATATATACATATATATATATACATATATATATATATACATATTTGGTCTTTGGCTATCGGCTATCGTTCATATAGTTGCTCTAGTGTTTTGGTACAGTATCAGTTCTTGACTGCCATTGGCATGCCGATCTGATGATAGTTCTCGATGCTGATCTGAAGTCAAGGCCCACCCCCACAACTTCCACCAGCAACTGATATCAAGACTGTAAAGCAAAACTTCTTCGACCACAATCCCCAATGTGACTAGCAACAAAAAGACTCATTGCTGGGTTATTTAAGATCATTTGCAAATCCCACAGCATCCTTCACCATCATCTGTAAGCATCAGGGGTCCCAGGGATGGATGATTTGCAGAAAGCATTTCTGGATATTTCTGGATATTTCTGGTAATGCAGACCAGGTCGCTCACCTAGGTCTGGGCTAATCCCACAGATTCTGACGCCCCCAGGATTGAATCTCATTGTTGCGATGTTGTTCCTCAGCGAACCTCGTAGTCATCGAGAGGTGGGAGATGCTGATGGAGATTGTAGAAACCATAAGCAAAACATAAATGAGAGTCTGAACACGTTTGGCCCGTGGCAGGAAGTTACGTGTATATATGTATATATGTAATGTAATGTAATGTAATGTAATGTAATGTAATGTAATGTAATGTAATGTAATGTAATGTAATGTAATGTAATGTAATGTATGTATGTGTATGTGTATGTGTATTTTGGAATCCCCAAACTGGCAGCAGGCCCCAATCTCCAAGTGTGTCCCTGACACTCCGCAGCCGCACGGCAGCTGAATGTTTCTCCAAGATCGCACTGAATCCAACACGGTAAGGTCGCCACGACCAAAAGGCCTAGCAAGCACAGAAGCTAGGCACCTATGGCTCAAGCTAACCACGCCCTCCTCAAAAGGCTCTCTGAGCCGCCCCAGCTTCAGAGAACATGCGGTCTGCAGGTGACCCAAGCTTAAGGTTGTGGTGCATGGTCATTGTGAATCGGCAGAGATTTTACATTCCCTCTACAACAAAAGATTCACAATGTTCCGCAAGGTTGATGGAACTTCACATATTTCCCAAAATGGATGACAAGAGGACGGCTTGGCTTTTCCAATATCATCACTCCCTATATGTGTTTGCGTTCTGCCGCAACCATTGCAGTCTGCTTCTAGAGTCTGACCGGGCTTTGAGGATTTCGCTTTCATCATGTAAACAGTATTTCCCCAGCTGGAGACATTCCCGGAGCATGGCATTATTCATCACTTTGGTCAACGAGTCTGCAACTTGAGCTCCTGATGGGACCCACCGAATTTGAATACCGTTTTGGAGGTGTTCTTTGATCAACTTAGCCTGAAGCAACGTACGGAATTCTTGACAGCTTGGAGGAGCAGTTCGGCTGATGAGGTCATACAGTGATTTACAATCAGTGGTAATTATCCCGCTATTCGACTTTGGTAGCTGGTGTAGAAGTTGTTGGACTTTGTCATGGGGAATGTTTTGATTTTCATCTTCGGTGGGAGGAATTGCTGCAAACGCCGGTGGTAATTGAAGTAGTGTTTGATCTGCTTGTTTCCAAGGAATTTTTGTGTCGATTAACCAGCCCCAATACAGTCTCACCCAGGATAACATATCTACCGCACCAGCCAGGGCCATTGCCTCTGCAGACAGCGTGCTCACTGCTACCTTTTGTATCTTTTTTGAATGCCACATGATCGGGTTCACAACACTGGTTCGGTTTCTTCCAAGTTCATCATGGCATGACATGATCATCATTCCTTGGTGTGAGTCGGGAAGTTTGGCCGATGCAAAGGATGCGTCTGAGAAGGCTGCAAATCTAAGGTGGTTAAGGGAAATTGGTTGGATTTTAAGGGTAACATCTGAGTGGAGTTTGGCTTCATGAAGAGTTTTATTGGCATCATTCAAAGTGGAAATCTTGGCTTTGTTAATTTGGGATTGTAGGTTTCCTAGTCTGCTGCACAGGTCCGGCCGGGTGTTGACTGCGGCGTATTGGAGTGATCCAATAAGCCCTCGCAGGCTCTGTCGCTCGTTTTCATTGACTGGCTCATCTGGATGCATCTTTCGGTTCTTGGCTATGGCAATTGGGTGTATATCTTTGACATATTGAGTCTGGTTGACGTAAATGGAGTGGTCAGGTTGTTGGTCGATTCTCAGTCCAGTGAAGGTGAAATTTCTTTTCTTGTGAGATCCAAATGGAAACATCTTGGATAAAGCCGTCAATTTTTCCTGAAACAGCTTCGAGCCGCAACATAAACCATCGTCTACATGAACTCCTATGACCCCTTCCGTTGCCCCGGTTTTCGGGTTGACCAACACAAAAGTACAAGGGTCAAAAGGCGAGGCACTGAATCCCAAAGATTCTAGACCACGTTTGAGTTCCATGAACCACAGGTAGGGAGCATCTACTCGACCGTAGGCACCCTTGAGCAACTGTAGCACCTCATTGGGTTGCAGTTTTAAACGTTCCCGAAGCTCAGCAGTGGGTTCAATTCCCAAAACTCTGTCACCCTGTTCAGATCCCCTCAAGAAAGCCGTCTTGATGTCAAAGGATTCAATGTCCCATCCATTGGAAGCTGCAAGTTGGAGAATCAACATTCGTGACAGTTTGGACATTGTTGGGGAGTCCCTTGGAATCTCATGAACAAGTGGGTCCTCATACCCCAAAACAACCAGTCGAGCTTTGGGTGTGTGTTGTTTTGGACCCTCAGAGTGGGAGTCCACAGGCTTCCACGTCAAGATCCACCTGCAACGCATGATATTGGACTCTGGTATTTGATGCCGCAAGACACGAGCCACTGTCTCAGTAGCCAGCCAGCTGTCTATTTCCTTCATTTTGGCTTGGTGGAATAACTCCTTTTCTTTGTTTGACAGTTGTGACATTTTCACTTCGCTTCTCTGTCTTTTGGCAGCGGAAACCAGGAAGCCCATTTCAGTTGGGTGTTCTTCAGCTCTCCATTGGTCGACATCCCTCTGTGAGATGTCCACTTCGAGGCGCCAAACCAAGTCATCTACCAGTGTGAAACAATCTACTTCTTCAGCAAAAAGTTCATCATCATCGGTTGGCACTGGAACATCTACGGGTGTGTCTACTTGGCTCTGTGACATCACTGCTGGGGCCGCTGGTGGGCTGACAATGGGAACTCTTGCATTGGCTTGACTGCCCAGTTCAGGCTCCGAGGGAGCTGCTTCTGGTTCCGGATCACTCTGTACACTGTGGTCTGCTGACCTTTGGGAGGCTTGATCATTCACTGGCATTTCGGGTGCTAAAAGTGGTTGTTGAGGATGGTTATGACGATTAGAATTCTGAGGTACGTTATCTGGCATTGGGAGGTTATGAAATTGGGTACCACCATGGTGAGGAATTATTGATTTTTGAGGGTTTGACGGTTGGAAACGCGGTGCATGGGAACTACTTTGGTGCCACTCCTCTACGGCTGAGAGAGGTCGAACATGTTCAGGAGCTGCTCTGTACAATTTCGTCCCCTTGGTTACCCAAATGACCCTGTTTTCTTCTTGGATGATGACTTGCATTGGTCCTTCCCATTGGCCTTCAGCTTCTCCCTTACGTTTCCACAGCATGATCCATGTGCCTGGGCTGTAGTGACCTCTATTGGGTCGACTGCGGCTAGTCAGGGCTCTGCGCAACACTTGGTCATTGTCAATTGACACAAAGGCACGGCGAGCGCGTTCTCGCGTGGCTAGCTCTTCTCTGAACTTTACTCCTTCTGGAGTCGGGTGCAAAGCTGCATGATGGGAGGCGGTTTCTTCATCATTTACTACTGAACCCCCCAACTTTGATCCCTTTCCAAACACAAGCATTTCTGGAGGATAGCCACGGTAACGGCTCCATTGATTCTTTGTCATGGTGGCCTGGGCAAGTGCTACTGACAACTGGTGATAGGAGGTGATCCCTTCTTCATGATCCATTTTGTTGAGAATCATTTGGAGTATGCGCCCATGACGTTCCACCCTTGAGTTTTGCCAGTGCCCTTCTGTCGCACAAGTCCTACTCTTGATGCCGAACCGCTGCAAAAACAACCCAAACTCGTCGGAATTAAATTCCGATGCCGCATCCATGACCAGCAACTTGGGTGCACCTGCCCATTGTAGCCATCCCTGCAAAAGGGCTTGTGAGGCATGGTGTGATGACCTTGATACTGAACACACTGCAGTATGATACAATGTGCTTTGATCCAGGAAATGATAGAAATGGTATTGTTCACCTTGTTTGTTAGTCCATGTGATACCATCCATCGCTATCACATCTCCAAAGTCACCATGCTCGTGTATGGCACTTGGTCGGGCAATTCTTGGCATCTGTGTTTCCTTGCAGGTCGAACACTGCAAGTCGGGTATTGCTTGGAGAATTCGCTCAGGGCATTTGAGCTGACGGCAAAATTCTACCAGCTTTGGACTACCCGGGTGGCCCAGATTACGGTGAATCTTCAACAACCATGACTGTTCATTGCTGGGCAATTGTAAGAACTTTGGTCCATGTCTTTGTGATGCCAAGTCAATTGCCTGTCGGGTTTCTCCATTGGTCTCGGCCTTTTCTGAGTTCCCCTGAACAGTCTCTCCTTCTCTCATTGCGGTCATGTCTTGTGGTTCAAGTGGAATTGCATCATGGCCTATGGACTCTTGGTTATTATGAGTGTTATTGGACAGGTTATTGGTGTTGTTACTGTTATTGGGACCAGTATGGAATTGCAATTGTGGTGGCTCTGCATGACTGCTGGGCTCATGACACCGGTGTCGCTTGCTGGATGGACTTTCTGGACTTTCAAGTCCATGCACTCGGACTGCAGGGATTACAGTGTCGGCAGAAGGTTCAGCTGATGGAACAGGGGTCACCCGGGGACGTGCAAACATTGTGAGGCTAAGACGAGCAGCAACAGCTTTCCTACGCAACCCTTTGTAGGTGAGTCTTTCCCATGCTTCCCATTCTTCATCCACATAGATCCCTTCTACTTTGCGACGAATGCAAATCATTCTTCTCAAGGGAGCTTCACCCGGATACATGGGCTTATTTGGGCCTACATATCGGTCAGTTCCGCGGCACAAAACGAGGTGTTTGATCTCATGTTGGGGGCACATTTCTTGCACTTGTTGCAACAGTGGGCCATTGTCAATGACCATTGTCCCAACACGGCGGGCAGTTGAGTCAGCCAGCTTCAGCACTGTCTGCCAATTGACACTCGGAAATTGCCTGGCAATAGTGTCAGCATCGGTCTTCTGTCCCAATCTGCGTTTCTTGGTAGGGTGTTCTTCAATGCTGACCTGTGGGGCCATGAGTCTACTTACCAAAACAGGATGTGACTGGTCATGGCAAATGCAACGGGCAACTTGTCGGGCAAAACGGCTCGGGTATCCCTCAGTAAATTGTGACAATGGAAACCGGATGCCACCAACCATGGTTTGACCAGCGATGGGCTGATGTTCATGGCTGCCAGTGCAAAAACGCTTGTGCAAGCTACGAAACAGATCATTGGAGGTGGACAAAACTTCCATCCTCTTTCGCAGGAATTGATCGGTCATGGGATCACGGAGTTGGCCAACTTCACACATGTCAAACCTGCAACAATAAGTGTGGTTGAGGATTTCCTGCATCCCTGGAACCTTCTTCAACAGTGATCCATCAGGCTGTTCCAAGTCAAAGTGATTGCCACTTTCCTTCTGATGTCGGAACAAAACAATTCCCAAAGCAACTTGCCATAAGTGATCTAACCTGTCGTGGAAAATTTTGGCTTGCAAATCCAATGAGCGCTGTTCGTTGTATTGACTCCATTTGCACCAAGGTTTGCATACAGGGCTATACCACACATGCTTTGGTCGAAGTGTGATCACCTCATGAAACAGTTTCATACGGCCGGAGTGAGTGTTCAAATCACCTTGATCCAGACCGAAGCGGTGTGCCCTGCCTCCAAGATGGAGTGCCTGCTTGGTGAGTTCGCTATCCGGGTGGCACATGACTTCAATTAAGTCCAGGCGTCGCTGATATACTTTGGGTCTCTTCACAGACTTCAGTTCTGCAGAAAATTGTTTCACCAACTTCTTCACTTCAGTTTTGAAGGACTGTTCATTTTGACCATCAGGAATGGGAAATTCAAAATCTGGAACCATGTCATGAATGCTACTGTGAACCCCAAAGCAATCACTTTCTAAGACGTCATCTTGAGCGCCTTGACATGCGAAATCAGCTCGCTCAGTGCAGCTTCGACTCCATTCATGCGCTGGTGCAGGGTCTGGTTCTCCTCGAAGAGAGAGCACATCTGATCTTCCATGTTTCCCATCCTCAGAGATTGCTCGATATTGTGACTCACCTCCTCCCTGCTGGCTTCGCTCCCCAGGTCCTCCTCCTTCACATGGCTCCATGAGGCTTCGGAACCCATCTTTTGGTTGTTGCTCTTGGGCTTGATCATTTTGGAAGGACTCTGAGAAATCTCCTGATCCAGCCGTTTCTCGACATAGGTGATGTACTTCTGATGGGCTGCCTTGTCGCTCTTCTCGTACTGAGAAACAAACCATTCGGTCCACTTGTGGTCCTCGAAGGCTGCTGCAAACTTCATTCCGGCTTTGGCTTTTCCGAATTGGATCGTCTCTTTCTCCAATTCCTCCAGTGACATGAGTTTGATCTCGCTCATCAGATCGGCTGCACTGCTGGTCTCCTTTTTGGCACGGAGAAGATGCAGTTTCTCGGTGAGGCTGGATGCCATGGTCTGAAACTGCGGTTGCTGACACTGATTGGACTGGGCACGAATGCTTTGATCCACTGAGCACGCTGCTGTGGGGACTGTCGGATGTATCTTGAGGCATCGTGGTCATGTTCTTCAGCACATCTGTGTCATGTTCGGCTACCCCATTATGTTCCACTTTATTATGAATTAACCCCACATGGTTATCCAGTTTATTGGTGGACATCTCGGCAGTTCCATCAACGGTGGCTGGAACGGATGCAATGGCACTCACTTCCGTTTTGTCAGGCTCGGACACTGAGCTGCTTGAGTCTTCCACATGAAAGCTAAGCTGCGATGATGTCTCTGGGCTCTCCCACAACTGATTCAAATCCATGAGTATCAAATTCTTGGCGGTTCGGGTGATCTTCAGGTTTCTGTTGAGCTGTTTGCTCCACATGACATCCAGATCTGTGTCAATCACAGCTTTGATCCCTTTCAAGAATTTGCTGGAAATCAAAAAAGGAGTGGGTCCCTCTACCACGGCAATTTGGAATCTTTGAGATCCCAGAGGCAAAAGCAATGCATGACGGCTGACTAAAGTCTGATGGTTGCCAAATCGAAAAATCAAGTGGCATGGAACACGCTTCACCTGCTTACGGACCCAATCTGGCAATTGTGATAACAGCTCAGGGACTTGTTGGCTGCCAATGACTGTTTGAGAGGCACCTAAGTCAACCACACCTATGGATCCGGAAGACGCAAAAAGACTGGGGCAGATCTCGCTATCTACATCGACATTGGACTCGGCTCTACACTGCTTACGCTGCCGCAAACCCTTTAATGCTCGGTTCACCTTCGGGTCAGGACAGCTGGCATTGCTAAAAGTCGACCATTTCCTGGAGACAACTGACAGATTATCCCGTTTCTTTCCCAAAATTCTCCCAAAAATTTGGTGGGTAGTGCTTACAAAACAATCAGTGACTTCGGCTTTAGGACGGCAGTCCTCGGACACATTCAGTGATTGCACTTCGGCTGGGATTTCTGATGCCGTGACAAAAGACGTTGGCACGGTTGATGCACTTGAGGCTCCACCACTGGTCCCCTTGTTTGGACACTCATTTTTCCAGTGACCCTTCTTCATACACAGGCGACAGTATGAGTTGGCGATTCTGGTAGCAAGGGAAGCTTTGCCCTTCCCTTTTCCTTTTCCTTTCTTACCTCCACCTTTTTCGCCTTTCTTCACACTCCAGAAGCCTCGGAACCTAAACTTCTCTGACAGGCGCTTTCGAGCATCCTGGTATGACGAGTAGTAGGCTCCTAGTTCAGCATCGTTCTGTACCATGTCTGACACTGCATCTTCAAACTGTAAAACCAAGGCTGCATCTTCGTCATCCTCGGCCGCCAATGCCTCTAATGTGGCGTCATCCAAGGTCTCTTCAGAGGCCCAAAACACATCTCCATCCGCATCCCATGGTGTTTCTGCCGCTTCTTCCAGGGAAAAAGCAGTGTGGTCGTATGTTTTGAGACTCTTGTCACGCTTGTTTCCAATCATGTCCTGGAAAAAACCTGATCCGATCATTCTGATGGCGGCTTCAACACTTTTGACTGTCAAATTGGCACCACTTTCAGCACCTGACTCGACTAGAACACGTTTCTTGTCGTCACTGCTGAGTCTGCTGCCCCTCAACAGTATGTAGGCCTGAATCTCCTTGATGTCAATCTTCTTGTTGACAAGTTCCGTCCAGATTACATCACACCTGGACAGGTAGGAATCACTTGTTTCGTCAGACTTTTGGGCACCTCTGAATAAGGCTTTCTCCACAATCTCAAACTTCCTTTCCAAGGGCACTGCGCCCCACTTTCCCCCAACAAGCTCAACGATCTTTTGGATTCCCTTGGTGTCGTTCACTAGGATCTCATCCCGGTGCAGTTGTAACTTCTGAAAAGCCGTCCCTTTGCATCCCAAAACCAACCTGGTAGCTAGTTCTTGTATTTTGGTGGGAGGCCACGTCAAAAGCAACAACTCAACTTTGTTTGTCCAGATCTCCACATTGTCCACGGCAGGATCGAACGTAGGAACCAAGACTGCTAACTGGTTAGGCACATGCCCTGCATCGCCCAAAGTTTCTGAGGTCCCTGACATGTCGTCCTGGCTCCGCTACCAGTTTGGAATCCCCAAACTGGCAGCAGGCCCCAATCTCCAAGTGTGTCCCTGACACTCCGCAGCCGCACGGCAGCTGAATGTTTCTCCAAGATCGCACTGAATCCAACACGGTAAGGTCGCCACGACCAAAAGGCCTAGCAAGCACAGAAGCTAGGCAACTATGGCTCAAGCTAACCACGCCCTCCTCAAAAGGCTCTCTGAGCCGCCCCAGCTTCAGAGAACATGCGGTCTGCAGGTGACCCAAGCTTAAGGTTGTGGTGCATGGTCATTGTGAATCGGCAGAGATTTTACAGTGTATGTGTATATGTATATGTGTATATGTGTATATGTGTATATGTGTATATGTGTATATGTGTATATTATATGTATATGTATATGCATATGTATATGTGTATATATTATGTATATATTATGTACCCTGATACTAGCTTCACGTTTTGTCTATTTTCACCCATCCACTGGTGGTCTTTGGTGTTGGTGCAGTGGAAGTTCAGGCAGGTGGTTTCTCCTGGCCGTAGGGTTTCCTTAACTACACCCCAAATGTCAGTCGAGCCCAAAAAAATGATCATTGCCCAAAACAAATCTGCTCAAAGCCCAATAGATTCGCAATGTTCCATATATGATTTTCATTCAGCTTTTTAGTGTACCTCTGGTTTTTTAAAGTCGCGAACAGGTTCAATCACCATTTTTCAGAGGATATTCCATTAGTGTTTAGTGGTTAAATCACCATTAGTGGTTATTTTTATATGGTTATTTACTGGTTATTCCATTTTTTTGGTATGTACCCAATCACCATGTTAAATCACCATTTTGGGTACATACTAAAAATTGTTGCCATTGCCATTACCCGAAGCCCCAGCTGGCGGCGAATCTGGCGCATGCGGCTCCAGACGAGGGGCGGTTGAAGGGACGACGCTTGGAGGCAACGGATCATAAGTGGTTAAGCCATGTTAAGCCTAATTAGTAGGTCCGCTAAGTTGGGTTTTCCGATTTATAGATTGTCTATAGATGGTTTATAACTGTGAAAAAAACCATCTATAAACAATCTATAACTCTGAAAACCCCACTTAACTATAGTTGCTAAATGCTGCTAACCAGTTACATCCAGTGGGAGAATCCTCCGGGGTCGAGTCGGCCGGCCGCCTGAATTCATGGAGTCGAGGCATCTTCATTTGTGCGTCAAGTGTGATTAGTTTTGCACAGATTGGGGGAGAAATCATCAATCCATTTTCCATAGGGAATCCCGTTCATGATTTTGGGATGACCATCAACCATATACTTCTGTATCATATATGTATATGACTATCATGTACTATCATATACCATTTGTTGAACATCGTTTGACCATCTTTTGACCCATGGCACATCTGGGTACCATCCCCCCTAAATGGTCTAAATCCTCCCATGACTTTGGGCTTGGAAGATACCAAGATGAGGACTTCACGTCGCTCCGTGACGACATCAATGATGGTTGGATGTTATGGAAAATCTGATCGTTCAGCAGACTTTAGCCAGATGAATGTGGTAAACCCAAACTTAACAATGAAACATAGATATGTCTACCAATCATGAAGAATAGCATTACTATACCAAGACAAATAATGTATAGTCAAACTAAAACAAAGACGATAAATATACTGATGATGATGATGATGATGATGCTGGTGGTGGTGGTGGTGGTGATGGCGATGGTGATGGTGATGATAATGACATTGACAGTCGTGATCTTGGATGATAATGATATCGACGATCGTGTTCATGGATGATGATAGTAATGATCATAACAATATAATGATGAACGTGAAATAACATAAAGGCAACATAAGACAGCATTTTCCCGGGGCTGTGAGTTTTTGAGGTGAAAACCAGGAGATTCATATGGGGCAAACAACTTGCCAGACAAGCTGTGATGGCCCATTTTTGGGGGATTTGTACCAGAAGTATACTTCAGTATACCCCAAAATTGTCCCCTTTGCATGGGAAATATGATGACATTCCTACAAGGTGGGGCCCCCCAGTTATAAGATGGTTTATAAACCCCATTAACTATAGTTATAGGTACCATAAACCATAGTTATTGGAGTTATAAACCAACTTAGCTATCTAGGGGGCCCCACTTTGTACGGTAAAAGTTGGATCCCCCATGTTCAAAGCTACATTGGTTTGTCACGTGGTGTGACTCAGGACAGGCGCTGGGGTGCACGACAATGCAGCTCGAGCTGCTGGTAATGTGTCCTGGCGACTGCGAAGGTCTGACACTGGGGGATACCTCTCAAAATGCGAATTACCATCTGGTAAACTAACATAGCTATTGAAAATGGCCATTTATAGTGGATTTTCCCATTGAAAATGGTGATTTTCCATAGTTATGTTAGTTTACCAGAGGGTAGTTGATGAACAAAAATCTATGATGTTCTATGCCCTCCTGTAGTTTATTTTCCCTCGACCATGGCTAGTGTCAACATGGCGAACATGTTTTGGATGTTGCAGGGGTGAAGAAAACAAATGTTGGTGGAGTCATTATTCATGGCACTGCGACTGCATGTTCAGTCATTGTTTTCTGGAGCGATGTTGACTCCTTCCACAAAAACTACATGAGTTTTATACGACGGAAGTCTTAAAAACTTCTTTAACATCCATAAGGATCAAAGAATTTTCATGACTTTGGAGTTTAACAATAATCATCACAATTGATTGATGAGTTGTGATTATTGGTGATTACCTCTTAATCATTGATACAGATCAACCAAGACCTTGGCAGCTCGTGCCTCTTCGGTGGACACGGGCTTGGACTACATCCCTTGGTCCGCGGGGCTCCTCTTTGCAGCGGGATTCCTCTTTATGTACCTTGGCACATACGAAAAGAACATGAAGAATGGTGAATGCTCGTGCCTCAAAAAAGGATGGAAGGTGATGAGAAACCTTATTTATGAAATCCACGAGATTTCTCGAAAATTGAACTATTGAACGGATTTTCTATGGTGTTTGTCCGACGTGTGACCTGTGATTCTTGGACCTCCGTGTGTCAAGAAACTACCAAAATGCCCGTGGCATAGGATTCCACCAAGTTCTAGGGGTCCTTAGGGTCCTTCATGTTAATTGCTTAAAAGTGCCTTCGGCCTTCACTATTTTTCATGATGGTTTTTAGATGCGGTTTTTAGATGTTTTTACCATGTTTTTACCATGTTTTTAGCGCCAACCAACCATTCCAACCATCCCATTCACCAATTCGCCAATCACTTGGGGATGGTGACTTTTCCTCCCAAAGAACCCCTCTCCATCCCCACAATCGTAAACGTAAATGTTCATCCTCCCAAACATGGTCGATTATAGGTCAATTGTAGGTATAATATGGTATAACATGGTACGGTATAATATATAAATAAGTTGATCCATCCTCACTGTGATGAGGATTTGGGTATCTATAACAAGGTTTTGATCCCTCGCAACGGGCACCAGCACGACCTGTTGAGTATCCCAGGTTGAGCAGATTGAGCAGCCCTGGTATGTACCATTGAGTACCATTAGGTCCATAAAGTACCATAAAGCACCATTAAAATCCATTGAATAGCATCAAGTACCATGAAACGTATCATGAAGTACCATTAAAAAAAACATGTTCGAATCAATACTCTCACTCTCCCACGACATACCATGATCTCTATACGTTGATTGGATATGGATTTCCGGCCGGATGCAGATGCAGGTTGGGTTTTGCCTCCTTTGAGAGCGTCACAGGCTGGGTAAACGGGCTGGGAAAATAATCAAACTAAATGATCACCGGAGGGTATACCGCGAGTTATGGCTGTGATTGGGAAGAATGGATAATTACCTAGCTGGAGTTGAGGTGTATCGACAAAGCCAAGTGGAAAAAACGCTGCGGTTTTCAAAGATGGATTTTGCAATTTATCTGGAGATGGCATTCATTAAGACACTCTGATAAAACATACTTATTCTACTTACAATCATCCAAGTTTTTGTTTGACGTTAAGTTGAATTTCAGGCTGTGCAGTGTTTTTCCAGCTACGTTAGACAAGTCTTGTGCTTGCATCCCGGTGATGCCCTGGCGTAGCATGTTGGTGAAAAAACGGGAGGCCGTCGGTAGCATTGATGACTGACTATAGCTGTAACGTGTTTTTTCACCAAGAATTGAAATGTTTGAGACCATGGAACACGTTAAAGACGTTAACATCCAATCACCAATTGATGTTAACATCCAACCCCAGTTTAACACACAGGCTACTACCTGCTGGACGAACTGTTCAAGGGCAAATATGCGAACCCAACACAAGCCAGTGGGCAACCTGCCAGCGATGAACACTTTGGTAAGGGGAGATTGAACTTGTGTTTGCGAGTCTATTGGTTCGCAAATAGATGTTTGAGCGACACAAAATGCCACGGATATTAGGTTAAATATTCGGACAGTTCTATTAGACCCATTTGCTTTGATTTTGTTCCAGATACACCGAACCCTAAACCTGATGATAATCCCATATATATAAATAAGTGCATCACCTGCTGAATGCGGCAGTTCGCACTGTTTCTGTACTGTACTCGACGTTGATGTTTATTTCAGGGCCTCCAGGCATTTTTCTCAAAGACCCTCTTGCACAGAACCATCTGCAACAACCTCATGTTTGTTGCTTCTCTCACCTGCCAACTGTTTCGTAAGATTGCGTCTGGAAAGCACTTGAGCTTCGGGACAACCCCTCAACAGTGTTTCTGTTTTAATGATATTTGTCGAAACAGGGAATACGAGGTCTAATTTCGTTGGTTTTGTTCCAATTGGCCAGAGAAAGTGCAGGGTATCGGCTCCAGTCTCTGCTCTTAAGGCAGTTCTATGGTCTCTTGTTCACAATTGTTCCGTGGTTGCAGCAAAACGCATCTGATCATATGCATCTGAAGGGCCCGGTGTGAATGGAGTATCAAGAAAAGTCAAGGCTTATGGATATGTAGTTCAACATGTAGTTTGGATTGTTTGTGTATGTTAGTAGAGTCTGAATTTGAACAACAACTTCCAACAACTTCCAGTAAACATTGGACCAGAATTTCCCAAGTGCCCAGACTTTGAGAATCCCATAGCTGCGGGCAGCATATGATGCGGCAACCGTCCCTTTGTGGCCCCCCAATTTGGACCCATACCCTGAATGTTGAGGCTGGGATCGCCATGCTCCTCACTGCCCTGCTTGTTGCTCGGCAGCCTGACTAAGCTCCCAATGAAGATGTGGCTTTGGGAATATCATGGGAGACATCACCAACTTCAAAACTGGCTAACTGTCTGGACATTCAGGGAGAATCCCCCTGATTTCCCGGTTAATTTTCATTGTCCCTGGGGTTTTTTCCCCGGTTTCAGACACACCCCTGTTTGCTGTTTTATCAGGAGGTCATTCCGCGCTCGCCTGCGATCGCCATATTTCGTAAAGTTCAACATACTATCGTTAATTCATCACCCATAGGATCCATGTATGGTATATATGCTAACATTGGGGGTATATTGATGGTAAATGTTACCATATATAGCATACATGGATCCTATGGGTCATGTCATGTCATCATCAATTATTTTGTTTATCTCACAATCATACAATCATTTTTCCATGATGTCTCCATCATAAAATGTATCATCAGTATCATTGCATCCGCAGTTCACCATGTTGTTTCATTGCATCACGATTTCACCATCACCATAAAGAAAGTTCATCATGGTATCATCTCACCGCTGAAAAAATCCTTCCGTGGAGCTCAGCCCCTATCACTTCACCATATTTCACCATGTTTCAGCCTGATTTCACCACTCAAACATGTGGGTTTTATGTTCCTTCGGCTCAAAAAATCACCACCATCACCAGAGTCACCAGAGACTTCCAGTGCAGCATGATCAATCATGTCACAATAGGAATCTTTAGCTGGTGTTCAGCCAAGGTCTACAACATGTCACCATGATTTCATGGTTTCCATGTTTCATTTCTCCAAAAAATGTGGGTTCTTTTCCATGTTTCATGATTTTCCCATGTTTCTTCAATGATTCGGGAACCACATTTTTTTTTCGGAACCCAGGTCTACAAGCCAATGTTGGGATGCATCGGTGAGTTTCCCACCGTGGCCGTGGGCGGCGTGCTGCGCTTCCTGGGCTTCATCTTCATGTCCATGGCGAAGACCCCCGTGACGCCACTGGACATTTTTTGGGTTACCGTGGCCCCCACGGGGATGACTACGGCTTCACCATGGAAACGGGTTCACCAGCCAACAATAAAAATGGTTGAACCAACTTTATTGCAGTGATATATCATGATATAATTGTCATATAATCTCATATATATATATATGTGTGTATATATATATTATATCTATTAATACATAAAGCCATATAACCGACAATCCTGGTGATATCGCTGGAACCAAATATTTGCAGTTATTCATCCCTGTCGTGCGATGATTATCCCAATTAAACATGCGTTTGGGATGTGTTCAATCCGCAAAAAGGACTGTGTTGGCATGTGTCGGCTATAAAGGGCTATAAACCAGGGCTATAAACCATATATGTTGCTAAAAAACTGGAAGATCAGTTCAGAAGATCAATGAAGTATGGAAAAAAAAACCAAGGGCAAGAAAACGTGATAACAGGAGGGCCATGTTCCAGGTTCCTACGAATTCCTTCACTGCTAGCATGACGCAAAGCAACAGCCATCAACAGCCATCAACAGCCACTAATGGCGCTTGGGTGAAGTGCCTGGCCTCTGAGGTTTGCAGCTGCCTGTATCTGTCAAGTGGTTGGTGGCAATCTCATCTCGCCAACCACTTCGTCTCTCCTCACCACCATTTGTTCCAAGAAGATCTATGGACGAGCTCTAGGTGTCCTGGCCTTTAGAAACGGATGCAAAAGGAGGGATGTGGCTAGAGTTGTTGATGCTTCGGAAAAAAGGGGAGATGGTCGGAGATGGCGTAGGCATCAAAAAAAATATAAATGCATCAAAAAAAAATAAAAATGCATCAAAAAAAAATACATCAAAAAAAAATAAAGGACGAAAGGAAGGAAGAAAGGAAGAAAGGAAGAAAGGAAGGAAGGAAGGAAGCAAGGAAAGAAAGGAAGAAAAGAAGAAAGACAGGAAGGAAAGAAGGAAGGAAGACAGAAAGGAAGGAAGGAAGAAAGGAAGAAAGGAAGGAAGAAAGGAAGGAAGAAAGGAAGAAAGAAAGGAAGAAAGGAAGGAAGGAAGCAAGGAAAGAAAGGAAAGAAAGGAAGAAAAGAAGAAAGACAGGAAGGAAAGAAGACAGGAAGGAAGACGGAAAGGAAGGAAGGAAGAAAGGAAGAAAGGAAGGAAGAAAGGAAGGAAGAAAGGAAGGAAGAAAGGAAGGAAACAAGAAAGGAAGGAAACAAGAAAGGAAGAAAGAAAAAGGAACCAAAGAAGAAAGGAAGGAAGAAAGAAAAGAAGGAAGAAAGGACGGAGACGAGAAAGGAAGGAAACAAGAAAGGAAAGAAATAATGATGTAATATTACATGCATAAGAGATCATTCAAATTACATGCAGGCATCACCGTAGCAGTTGCGTACTGTTATTTATGTATATGTATATATACATATATATATGCATTTATATACACACTTATATATTTATATTTAAATATATTTATATTATTTATATTTTCTGTTTACATTTTTATATACATAGTATTTCTATTTATGTTCAAATTCAAATATATATATATACTTGCATATAGAAATATGTAAATATATACATATACTTATATTTATGCATGTATATATACACTTATATATTTATATATATATTTATGTATTTATATTTATATATTTATATTTACATATTAATATATATATATACTTATGTACTTATATATATATACACATTCATATGTATATACATATAACTGTATATATATATATAAATGAGTATGTATCTACAAGTATATATACTGTATTCCACATGTTTCCAGGGTGCATGTCGTGTAGTCTATACACCTTGAGTATCACATTCAAGCCAGCACCTTGCATGTGAAAATAGGTGTTTCCAATCTGCTTTGGGGGGGAGGCGCTGCGCCCTTCCCCTGAATCCCCCCCTCCCGCTTTTTTTAAACTATTTAAATAAAAAAGAAAGACACTTTTCAATACACTATATAGTTTGATTCGACTATATTCATATTTATGTTAAAATTTATGTGTATATATATATATACATATATCTAGACATATATATATATAGACACACATATATATATATGTATATATATATGTATATATATATGTATGTATATATTTGCATTTATATATGCACTTATATATATATATATGTACTTATATAAATGTATATATATATAAATTAATATGTATATACATATCCATATGACTTTGTTTATCTTCCAATGCATTGCGGCTTTTTGGCTACTAGTGTTTGCTGGTTGCTTGTTTTATTGTTGTGCCATGAAGCAATACATCGTATCCTGTGCGTCTAGCTAAGACTTGTTAGCGTTGTTGACGGCACCATCGGTACGTCTCCAAGGTGTAGAATCCCAAATGTCGAGGAACAGTCCATAGTTATCACCCACGTATTCCATTGATAATGTGCGCTAAATATTTATATAATGTGTTATACTCTCGAGTATATATATATTTTACATAATATAATATTATAAAAGTTTGGAATATAATTCATATATATAAATGTATATATATATATAAATACATATGAATATGTATATACATATCAATGTGTATATATTTATATAATTATGTCTCTATCAGTATATATATATATGTTTATTTAGAAATACACATACATATTTACTTATAGACAGATAGACGTATATATATATATGACATATTTGTGGTTGTTTTTATACACAGCTTTGATCCCAAAATATACTACAAATAATCACGTAATTATACCTACATGTTGTATCCCTAAACCCTAAACCAAACCCTGCATATACATACATGCATACATACATACCTACCTACATACATACACCTGGAGTATCACATTCAAAGCCCTGCACCGTTGAGCATGTGAAAATAGGTGTTTCCAATCTGCTTAAATTCAAAACTTGCACACTTTTCAATTACTAGTTTGATTCTTTTATATTAATATTTATGTTTATATATATATATATCTAGACATATATATACATAGACACACATATATATATATATCTAATGTATGTATGTATGTAATGTAATGTAATGTAATGTAATGTAAGTGTTAATGTAATTTGTAATGTAATGTATGTATGTATGTAATGTAATGTAATGTAATGTAATGTAATGTATGTATGTATGTATATCTTTGCATTTATATATACACACATATATATATTTATGTACTTATATAAATGTATATATATATATAAATACATATGAATATGTATATACATATCAATGTGTATATATTTATATAATTATGTCTCTATCAGTATATATATATATGTTTATTTAGAAATACACATACATATTTACTTATAGACAGATAGACGTATATATATATATGACATATTTGTGGTTGTTTTTATACACAGCTTTGATCCCAAAATATACTACAAATAATCACGTAATTATACCTACATGTTGTATCCCTAAACCCTAAACCAAACCCTGCATATACATACATGCATACATACATACCTACCTACATACATAGATAGATAGATAGATAGATATATATATATATACATATGTATATAGATAGATTGATTGATTGATTGATTGAAGAAAACCATAGAAAACTTGCAGAAAACCATGGAAAATTGAAGAACACCGGGGAAACATTGAAGAAAACAATGGAAAAATTGAAGAAAACCATGGAACAATTGAAGAAAACCAGGGAAACATTGAAGAAAACCATGAAAAAATTTGAGAGGCACGAAACCCAAGAAAGGAAGGGGGGAAGGAAGGAGGAAGGAAGGAAAAAAGGAAGGAAGGAGGATATGAGATAACGAAAAGCAAGGAAGGAAAGAAGCAAAGACAAAGAAGAACGCTGCTTCGAAGAAGATACCAAAGAATAATAGGAAAAAGGAAGAATGGCAGCAGGAAGAAGCAGATCGAGAAGGAAGAACGAAGGAAAAAGGAAAAACTTAACAGAAAGGAAGAGAAAGAATAACGATGAGATCTGCCTCGTCTGGTGCTTGCAGCTTACGGTCAAACTTGAGATTCATCAAATCAGACGCATGGCTGATCGAAGCTCAGAAAAAAAAAATAATACATTAACTAACTTGAGACTCGGTCTTTTATTCGAGATCCCGCCGTCCCCAGTTTCAAGAGAGGTTGTGACATGCCTAGCCACGAAGTGTCTTTTTCATCTGACTTTCACACTTTCTCTGATATCCGACCTTCCATCTCCAGACATGCTGTCGCGTCGCATGTATGAGCATCGCGTTATGGAGCAGCTTGCTTGCTGGGACTCGACCCTTTATTCGGTATCTGTTGGGATCTCAAGAGAGTTCTCCAGACGTGTGATCGCCTCGCATGTATGAGCATTGCGTTATGGAGCACCTTGCTGGGACTCTCCCTCTGAGTCGGTATCCCAAGAGTAGTTGTGATTTAATATGCGCTGGTATCTGTTGGGATCTCAAGAGAGTTCTCCAGACGTGTGATCGCCTCGCATGTATGAGCATTGCGTTATGGAGCACCTTAATGGGACTCTTCGTCTGAGTCGGTATCCCAAGAGTAGTTGTGATTTAATATGCATTGGTATCTGTTGTCTGCTGACAGTCGACCTTTTCTTCGACATCTGACCCTCCCTCCCCTGTCTCCAGACACGTACGAGTCACTTGTATTAGCATACCTCGGAATTTTCTTGTTTGATACGGACCACCTGGATATTGCGGACAGATCGGCAATCGACATCTGACCCTCCCTCCCCTGTCTCCAGACACGTACGAGTCTCACTTGTATTAGCATACCTCGGAATTTATTTTTTTTTGATGCAAATTTTATTTTTTTTTGATGCGTGTACCACGTTGAAATCTTGGACAGTTCCATAGAAGTCCAGGGGAATATTTTTTTGATGCAAATCAATTTTTATTTTGATACTTATGGGGATATTTTTTTTGATGCGTTTTTATTTTTTTTTGATCCTTCACCCTGATGGTTCCATGTGCTGCCTCAAGTCACTGTCGTGGAAGTTGACTCGTCAAACCATCGACAATTTGTAGCAACTCAGCAGTTGATTGGTCAAAGAGGGGGGTCTCCCCCATGCAACTAGCTGATTTGAGAGGCTATCAGCAGTCCTTCCAGTCTGTGGCCCGTATCTTTGCCCCCACCATCTTCGGATATTTGTCCCTGGGTTGCAGCACCGCGCAATTTTCCCATCAGAATCGCTGGTTTCCGAGCCACTTCCTGTAGTAGGTAGCCACATCGACCGCAGATGACTACAGTATAAAACATAACCTAGCTAGAAAGATTCTTGGCGTTGTAAATGTATTTTTGCGGTAGGTCTGAAGGTACCTACAACACCAATCAACACCATACCAGTAGATAGGTTATGTGGTTCTAAGTGTCTTCTTTGCATGTTTCAAATTCACAGGTCCATGTGAAAGGGTTGAGCCCTTCCTTGCGAGTACATGATCTCAAAGCTGTGCACACTGTTTTTTTTCCCTTCAATCCGATAGCCATTGATCAACATGTGTTGCACATATCAACAAGTTACGCATCACCTGAGTTTACTGTTGGTATCTGTTGCTTGTTGTTGCATCTTCAAGTGGTGTCACCAATATCCTATCTTCTTGGCTCAGAATGCTCATCATTTTTACATCGTTCCGGAGCCTCCCCTGACGATTCGCTTCGGCCATCAGCGAGGTACGACCAGTTTGACCATCGCCTTACCTTTTGGATCAATGCTGGCACCACCGCACCTTGGGCCTTGGATTTCCTTGATGTTTGTTGCTGTCTTGTCGTTTTCTTTCTGAGAACCTGAACAGAGATTGTATATGATTGTATTCAAAGTCTCAATGGCCCAGTTCAACCTTCCCTGACTAGCATGAGTAAACATCGGGGGGGAGGCAGAATTTGGAGCCTTCGACAATTGGCACTGGAAACACAACTTGACAAATTGGATTCATCGGAGGTCATCATCTATACCATCCTGGAAGTCCGTTCCTATCTTTTGGGGTGTTATTAATTAAGTTTCATATTTCCTCATCGAACATTCTAGGTATTTCCGCCATGATCGGCCATGTTTGACCACCGTTTCACCGTTTCAGCAGCCAGGATCCCTGCATCCCAGATGAATGTGAAATCGATGTATCTATGTTTTGAAAAATCCTTTCCCTCTAACAATCGAATACTAAACGGCCCCCCCTAAATCTTAAGCACCTGGAGATACCTGGAGTAGTTTTTAGTCTTAGGGGGTACTTTTTGTTTAGAGTGAGAAGCTTCCCCTAATAAGATCAGAACTTTCAAAACCGTGTTAGAAAAAACTATGCAACATTTTTGATTGCAAAACCGATTGAATTCTCTGTTATTGCCGAACATTGGATTTCGAAGCTTGCCCCAATCAAACAAAAGCCAATAGGTCTTCGAAGTTTTCACCTAATAGCCAAATCAAAACCTTCGTAAAAAGAACTAACATGTTCCATATCAAAATCGATCAAGTCCCTTATTGATGGCTAATTGAAATATTGCCGAACATTCAGATGTTGATGCTTTCCCCCAGTCATCAAAGCAACACCCCTAATTAAAATGAACTCAAATTGTCCAGAGAAATCAAATTCTTTAGTAAAATCTAATTATCATGTTGTTTTGCCCTATATAATCCAATCAAAGCCTTACTCAACAAAAATGTTGGATGTGAAAAGGCGGACCCTAATAAGCACCCCAGGGTTTTTCCTAGCATTTTTAGGGGGCAGAATCAGACTTCGGGTATGCTGTTCTCCGATTACTTTGAAAAATTGCTACAATTGACAATTGCAATTTTCACAACTCCAATAGAAAAAGAACAAATTGAAGGTTGACCCTAGTTTTTAGTAATTATTTGGGGGACGTTTAGTAATAGAGAGGAAGGGATTAACATGAATGTATTGCCATGCCCTACCATGCACTATTATGCACTTGTGTATGCCCGGATATCTTCAAATAAGCGATAATCATGTCATAATATCTCATATATATATATATATGTCCGCTCTAATCAGATCAGAATTCCCTTCGTTTCGGTCTTAAGTCTAAACTTCCCAGAATTGCATCATGACTCATGACTTCGTGAATCGGGAAACATGATCAGAGCCAATTTACGAGCCAATTTCAATCCATCTGGGGAGCCGTTTGCCAGTGACCTCATGACCCACTGGCATCATGGATACCCTCTGGTAATTTAACATAGCTATTGAAAATGGCCATTTATAGTGAGTTTTCCCATTAAAAATTGTGATTTTCCATAGTTACGTTAGTTTACCAGAGGGTATCATGGTCATTGGGGGAATCATCCCCCAACGGTCCCAGATTTTGTGGCCTTTCCCATGATTTTTTTTAGGGGCGCGCTTGGCGACCTCCAAGGTCATTGCCGTGCCTTTAATCCTGATGGTTCCAAGACCTCCAAGCAACATGGACGTCCAGGACAAAAAGGGACAGATGCCCTGAAAATGCTGATTCAAGCATCAAACATGCGGAGGAACAGGAAGACTTGACCCAAAATTGGGATTGATAGTTGATCTATAGCTAAGTTGGTTTATAAATGGATTGCCTAGGCTTTCCGCATGTAGATGGTCATTACATGTCACGACTTCCAATCTTGCTGTGCCAAGCATCCTTCTTTGATGCACGTTGAAACTGTGCTTTTTTGACACATACAGATATGAACAATTTGCAATGTGACTTAAAATGCTTTTTGGGGGTGAAATGTTTCTGGTGTAGCCAATACAGATCAGAATATGCCAGAAATGATGTTTCTTAACCCCCCGTAAGGAGGGACCTCCATTGGTTTATGATGGGAGCAAATATATATATATATACTATATGTGTATTATATATATATACTGTACTTGCTATTTAATGATATTAATGAATCCTATTCGGGCCCCTTCAGCCCTCCCTTCGTTCCCAGCTGCAGCCAGTCAATTTTTCAGGAGGTGGAGGAGAACATCGAGCGTCACTGAGTTCTGATATGTTCATGATGATTCACTATTATGTCTAGTTAAATTATTAGTGGATTATGCGAAAATAATAGATGTATAATTTGATGTATTATATATAATATATTCTAGCGATATGGAGGTTTCCATAGTCATGGGGGTAGCCCAATAGCTGGTGGGTTTATTTCATGGAAAATCTGAAAATAAAATGGATGATGCATGGGGGGTACACCCATTCTATAACTATTTGATGATATATATATATAATCACTTTTATATGGATCCTATGCGGATATATAGTCTTACTATCACTACTATTATTATCATATAGCGATATTTATTGAATTACTGTATAACATTTTGATTATAGGATTGTATCACTATCCTCCATTTGACAATAATGATTGGATTCTGAGCATACGTTCCAATTAGTATTGTGATACTTGGATTATCAATCATTATATATCAATCATTACTATTGTGATAACTGGATTTTCACATCCAATATATCAATCAATATATACCAATATACCAACCAATCATTATGAGATGATACAACCCTTCATTCAGATTTCACCAGGGCATTTGACGTTTAGGGGGTTGCAGGCCCGGGGTGAACAATGCTGGTGAAAAATGACTATGGTAATACTCTCCATAAGTAAAACACAACACTATATTGTAACTATGTTGTATATATATATATACATATTATTACATATCATATATATATAATATTACATATCATATATATATAATATTACATATCATATATATATATAATATTACATATCATATATATATCATATATATATCATATATATATATATCATATATATATATGCACATCCAATTATAACTGGAACTGCAGCCCCAAGAAGTAATCGCTTACGCTTTGAGAACTGGAAAATGGATGAAGCCATTGGCCCCTCCGAAATCAGCTGATGGCGCACAAGTAATGGACACAGATTTTCAGGGGACATCTACCCTCTGGTAAACGTTTACATAACTATGGAAAGATCCACCATTTTCAACGGGAAAATCCACTATTTCTATGGTCATTTTCAATAGCTATTTTGACATAACAAGAGGGTATTTGTCGGAAAATATCGGTTGCCTTGGGGTGATTTCTGGAATTGGAGAAGACGAAACTGCCAGCCAATTGCTTCCCATGTAGCTCGGTGGGGAGTACTACTTGAGACGTGTCAGATTCCACCTATCCACCTACAGTATCTGGGAGAGCCACGTTTGACCCATCAAAAAGAACGACGATCCCATATAAATCCCATATAATCCATGACAATCCCATAAATAACTAGGGATCTTCTATGAATCCATAAGTGTTTTTTGCACCCTACCGGGCCCTACCGGGCCCTACCGAGGTATGGAACGGCAAAAGTCGGTTCCTGGAGTCCCTCCCTCCCTGGACGGCGCCAACCATGGCACGTTGAGAAGACAACTCTCAGGCAAGGTGGGACCGCAGTGGCTATGCGATGGCAAACAGTGGCATATCAATAGCAACTGTTGGCGATGATATATTCTCATATATATATGTATATATATAATATATATATATTATATATATATTATATATATTATATATATATATATGATGGTTGGTGGTTTGGAACATGGCTTTTATTTTTCCATATATTGGGAATAATGATCCCAACTGATTAATATTTGTTCAGAGGGGTTGAAACCACCAACCAGTATATATTCATTTATATATTCATATATATATATACATACAGTCATATGTTTGGTACCAATGTGTTTTCTAGCTCTAGCGGGGATGATGAGCCAATTGACATTTATATATTGGGGATGGGGGTGCCAGTCAAGCAACCTGTGCTTAAGAGTTTGTGGATTCCAGGGAAGTTCTATGTGAAATACCACTGGCAGTTTCACTGAACCATGGCTGTTTCAACATTTTTTTTTGACGCGTTGTGGCGGCTGGATGCCACTGACTGGTAACAGAGCCGGGGGTGAACATTGAACTGGTAAGTCAGACTAGACTAGACGATGATGATGATGATGATGAGGAGGAGGAGGACGACGACGCATGTCTATAAAATATGTATGTATATATGATTATATATGTATATATACATTATACATTTATACATATCTAATTTCTTTTCGCACCTCATCCATCAGCTCCCGAGGTTTGCGTTGCGGTGATGGTGACTCCACAATCAGTTTTCATGGTGACTACCCACCATCTAAAGATTGAGAGTTTCCGTTCCATGGGTTTGTGGGAAATGGGGAAGATCCCAGTTAACCTCCCCAAGTCACATTTTGACAGAGAAATGATATAATTCATAAACACTTCGATGTTTACAGGCACCTTGCTTTTGGGCAATTCCGTGCCACTATATTAACATGTGTATGATATAGTCATTATTTGTATGATTGTATGTGTATATATATGTACATGTATAGATACATGTATAGATACACCTCACCTCATCTCAACCAGTGTGCTCCTACCTTTACCAACAGCCGCACAGCCGCACGGCCTATGTGGGCAGGTGTGGGTCAAGATGCAGCTGGATCGGCCCAGACGCAGAGTCTACAAAGAGTGGTCGAGGGCCAGGACAGTCAATCTCAGGCATAGCTTCAAAAAGTGGTCGCCGCGTCGCTAGCGTCGCCGCGGGAAAGGGATGGAAAGGGATGGAAAGGGCAGGAATGCCAGGCTGGATGATGCTGGATGGATGATGCTGGATGATGCTGGATGTCTGTGGCAAAAAAATGGGTGTCTATGGGTGTCTTACAAAGGGAAAAAGGATGAAAAAGGATGATATGATGTGTGTGGACATGTCTCCGGTCTCCTGTCTCTTGTTTTTAAACAAAATTGTCAGGTTCCAATCTCTACCATTGTGAATTCGTGCATCCTGCAGATGCTTCTAGACCTGAAGGATCAAATTTATCGCTTTCTAGAACAGGCATGCTGATGGGCCAAAGGGTCGTGGTATTGTTGTGTCACCAACTGGATGGGTTATTGTTTGATGATCATTTATCAATGGCTAGGAGGGTATCCTGAAATTGCCAATGTTTTTTCGATTTGTTTCGCAATTTTCTGGAATCTTAGGTCGAGTACGAGCTGGCCAGAAGAGAGCCCACACCGGGGGAGAAGAAGGAGCCACATTTTCAGAGGGATGTTTGATGCTTTGGGATTAGATTCCAGCTGGTGAAACTATACCCCAATATGTACTCGTATGTTTGTTGCATGTATGATCTTTATGTTTCTACCCTTGCGATTCAAGGAAAAAAGACACAAAGTGCCCCAATGGACCATATATTCCGGATAAATGGTAGCATAGTGGTAACGACAGGACCCCAGCATATCTTCCCAAAAGACCCGTTGAACAGGTTTAAGCCAACACAAATAGCAGATTTCCTCTAAAAGGCATCCTTGGGAGACCAGCCTTTGTTCCTTCCTCCGAGGAGCCCTCTGACGAGGTGCCATTGTCACAACGAGCCACCCGGCGGGATGCCTTTTTCAGTGGTGAATGGCTTTGTCTGAAAATGGGGGATAGCCTGGATAGCTCAAATGGCCAGTTGAATGGTGAAGAAAATGGTGGTGCTTTCGGTGGTACTCTATTTTAGAGAAACCCAAATTGGGAAACAACAGTGGAGCATCACTGAGGATGAGCCACCTGAACCTCTCCCTGAAGACGGCAAATGGCTCTGGCGGCTGGGCCGAAAGTTGGAGTGATCATGGCTGAAAAAAACAAAAAGGGAATACAGGGATGCAGAGATTTGGCCATGTCGATGGACTGTAGCCCTAGATTTTAGATGTTTTTGTTGCTTGAAATTGAGGTTTTTAGATGGCTTTACCACAGATTGCACTAATACTGAAGTTCAAAAATCCAAGTTTGGGATGCCGAGGTTGCTGCGAAGCGATGGAGAGCTGGTTGGGTGTGTGCCCCCAGCCGCCTTTGACATATCAAAACTGGTGGATGAATCCCAAAGCTAAACTATAGCTGGTTGGTGGTTTGGAACATTTTTTATGTTTCCATATATTGGGAATAATCCTTCCCATTGACTAGTATTTTTCAGAGGGGTTGAAACCACCAACCAGATAGATATCTATAGATACTATTGGTCATGTTGTGGTCATTAGACTCTCTAGTGATTTTGATGGGCCAACCCATGTGTTGCTCATTAAGGATTATATAATGTGTTTTAATCCAAGATTGGACCTTCTTGTTCTGCATAGATGTGTTCTAATCCAAGATTGGACCTTCTTGTTCTGCATAGTTCGTTGCGAGGCCCAAGGGTGATCGGGGATGACTGGCAGATCAAGCGAAACGCGAAAAGGCCATGACTTTGTCTCCGTGAGATATCGACGTGACTGAGATGGAAAGGTCTGGCAGTAAACGTTTCGCTTCAGGAAAGCAATGAATAGTGACCTCTAAGCGCGTCTATAAACCTAGATGTTCATGTGGATACTTTTGCCGACCCGGACCAGCAAAGTAAGTTGTGCTGTTTGCCTCATGTTTTGCGTACAATGGCTGTTCCGATGTACGGTAGCAGCTAATGTAGATTTCGATGTTTGCCTCGTGTTGCGCACTGTTGGCGATTTATGGCTCAAGCCAGTTCTGTATGATGCACATCAACCGACATTGGAAGTTTCCATGCTGGAAGCCATCGGAGCCAGTTTTCTCTGATAGACTGTAGATTTCGTTAGTCTTATACCAGGCATACCACAAAGACCGCCTCATTTGCACTACATGATTGATATGACTTGATATCTTACTGCTGGATCCCGTGCTCCCGCATGGCTTTGGCCTGGCGGTGACAGATGAGTGTGAGGAACTCAATGGAAGTGACCAGAAACAGGGCACGACAATTGAAAACTTGGTGGTTTCAGATACATTTTTCTGATGCCTGAAACTGAGATGATGATTCCAGATGACAATCATATCATATTTATCTTTCAGAGTCTTTGATTCCGTGTCAGCCAGGTTGCATGTTCACCCGATTTCCGGCTAACATCCCCCACCTTCGATCATATTGTATTGACGTATATATCCATATATAATCATATATATAAAATATATCCCATGAAAAGGCATCACAGCTTCTACTTGTAGTGAATATCCCATGGATGATCCCCATGATATCCATATATTGATCATAAATTGATCATATTTAATGGAATTACAGTAATGGCCACGGATGATCATTATCCCCATATTTAATAGAATTAATGGCCATGGATAAATCATTACTGGCCATCCCAGACAGGCCGATGACACCCAGGCCGAACGGGCTGAAGTGCTGGTCCGGGACGCCCAGAGGGGGAATTGTGCGCCGGAATTTTGGGTTTGGCGACCTTAATGGAACTACAATGGGATTTAGTGGTACTGTAATTATATTATAATATCTAACTGTAATGGGACTATAATGGGATTTAGAACTGCAAATGCTTGTTCTAGACAACTCTGTGCCACTATTTCGGTTCGAGGAACACAATTGCTGTTGGTGGGACGCACGGACATAGCCTGCATATCCCGTTGTTCAAAGACATGTGATATTAGTATAGACGTACGGTGGAGTATATCAGCGTATCATATCAAATGTGTGTGTGTATTATATAATTATATAGTATGTTATAGTATTATATATATATATAATTATATCTATGTATATATATATATATATACAGAAAGGTTTTGGATCAAACCGCCCCACGACTTGACCAAACCTCAGCGGGTTCGCCATTCTTCAGCGCCCGCGGGAGTCCTTTTTGCGTGGACTGGAACTCCTTTTTATTTGCGATTTTACCGCTGCTGTCATTTGATTGACCACCGGTATTTGGCATTCTCACATTTCCTTCATTTGGATCTTGGACTTTCTCATTTTGCAATCTGACTGTATCGGCTCGCCCTGGACACTTTACAATTTGGGATCCTCGTATTCACTTGTTTGGTTCAATATTTGCAATTTACAATTTCTTTTGGCCACTGCTGTCTTTGGACCTTTGGCACAATTTTGTTTATTGACTTCGACATTGGATTTTCATTGAACCTGAAGCAGACTGCATTGGTTGGCCCTGGTCTTTCTTCTCTTCAATAATTTCCATTCACAGCGTACCATCCAGTGCCATTAGTGCCTGGTTTATGTGCCCAGTTTTGATTTTTCGAATCATTGTGCTCATTGTTGCAAGTACTTTTCAAGATTCCACCCAGCAAAGATACCACCCGTCGCAAAGCCAGACGGGATCGAGCCGGTGCTCGCAGACACTGTTTCCTTTACAAGAAGGGTCGCATAGCGTTGACACCAAGTGCCTTACGCAGGATCCGGAATATCTTGAACAAGCACCACAGCAGAGACGCAAATTTCATTACGCAAATCCATTCAGCCATGAATCTAGAAGAAGATTCAGAGTATTACCCATGGCGTTGCCCATGCGGGCGGCTGAACAAAAAACATGCAGCAGAATGTGCCATTTGCTATGGTCCATGGCATGCGGGAACGCGTCATCGCACGCAACCCAAGTCGTATGCCTGGACGGAACCCAAATGGGAAGATTGGGAAGATTGGGAAGACGAGGCAAGTTGGGCCTCCAGCAGATCGACCAGCCGATCCTCCACCAGGTATCGGCAAGATGCAACAGCTACCCATTCAAATACGAATCAGCAACAACCGGTCAAGAAAGGCAAGGGAAGCAAAGGAAAAGGGAAGGGCAAAAAAGGAGGCAAAACAAGTGTTTTACAGACTCAGAGTGGACAGATGGATCAACCGTCTCCTTTTCAGAAAGAAGATGGTTTTGTACCAGGGTCACAGATGGATTCTGCACAGTTTATGCCATCCACTACACTCCCTTCCAGTCCATTCGCTTCTTTGACAGCAAGCAGTTCGACCGACAAAAAAGAATGGATAGAGCATATCAAACGTGCTTATCCAGATCCGAATACTATGCCAGAAGATACAAAGATATTTCTGGAGAAAACAGAGCAAGAGACAGGAAGAACCGGAATCAAAAGCCTTCACCAAGCCACCAAGTATCTTGGAAAGGTCAAAAAGCATCTAGGAGAAGTCACCGACCAACGCCGTGCTCATCGGAACCTATGGATGAACCATCTGGCAAAAGGAATCCAATTGTGGGAGAAACAGTTGGCGGATTTCCGCAAACACCAGGCGCTCTTGACAGATCAGGCTGGAAAAGCGAGAACCGAAATCTCGGCTGCCAGCCGTATCATCCAACAGTTGAGCAGTGCCACAGCTGGGGGTCTGGCGCCGCCTACACCTCTCCCCCCAGAGACAGAAGATCTCACAGACGATCCAACCGACAAGGAGGAAGAGGTCTTGCGGAAACAGTTGCAAGGCGTTTTACAGAATTGTGCGAGTTCATTAGGGCTGGACTTCGAACCATCCAGAGTGATCGAAATCAAGGAAGAGGACGAAAAAGTGGAAGAAGACAAGCGCACCAAAAGGCAGCGCTCGCAGGAGCCATCTGGAGTTGCTACCAAACAGCAGTGAGTGGGGGCCGTGTTCAAGAAGTTCATAAGAATTCTTGCCATGAGGCCATTGCTTTTCAATCCCGCGAAACAGATGTTGAGGCCTATCGTTTAGCTTGCCAGTTATCCGATGCAGCATGCAACTGTTGGGATGTCTTCTCCAAGTTTTCCACTTTCACATCACCTTGGATGCACTCTATCATGAATGAACCTCGATATGTTAGCCCTTTTCAAGCCACTCTGAACGCTATTGATTTGCAATGGGAGGTTGGTTCGGAACTCTTAGCTCATTCACAATCACGAGTTGTTCCTGAGTTTATGCCGATTTCTTCCTGCGCCCATCAGTTGACATCTCAAAGACCCCTGCCCAGACAAGTTGTACAGAAACATGTCAGGTTTGCGGATCAGATTGATGTGCTGCTTGGTGATGCCGATGAATTTCACATGCATGGGATTCAGGTCACACAACAAACTATTCTCAACTGGATTTCCAAACCATGGAGTAAAAAGAGGATCAGGAAGCAAATACCTGACAGGACAAATTCCCATGACATCAACGAACACTGTTCTCATAAGGTTGTTTCTCTGGAACCGCTGTCAAATTTGGCCGTGTTGAGCCGAGAATCAACCCAACCTGACTTTTCATTTGGATTTCCATCTGACCAATTGAATATTGAAAGCGAGGGTGACATCCTGCATGTTATGCAGCGGACTGTCACACATTCTGACACATCCGACTCTGTACATAGTCAGTTTGATCTTAGTGATCACAGTGATTCTCTTGCTCACATTCCACAAGATTGGATGCTTGATTTGCAAAGAGTTGTTGCCCGACATACTGAAGAATGTACTGCTGATCGAGATGATGAGTTTCTCTTCTCTATTTACACGTGGTATTTAGACCATGAAACCTCCAAACTGTGCAATACACCAAAGATTGCCATCCTTGGGGGAGACCCCACTGAATGGGAAGACGATATCATTTATCCTTGGCGACATAGACTCAGGGATGGAGAGAGAACGCAACTTCGCCTTGTTCAGCCTAATACACCACGTGCCAATGTTGAGGAGCATATTGCCCACATCCTGGTAATACAACGGGAAACAGATGATTCCTCAGTTCTGCTTTCCATGGAATTTCTATCAGAACATGAACACAATGTTATTGTGCGCACTGCTACTGTAGTGCCACGCAGCTGCACAGCACTTGACATTTCGGCCCTTGTTCCGATTTTCGATAGATTTTTTCCATCACGCATGACATGGGAACATCCGATCTCTAATCCAGAGGATGATCGACATTTGTCCTTTTCAACTTGGCCAGGGTTGTGCATCCGAGTCAGTGTTGCTCAAGAAACGCATTTTGATGCTGAAAATGATCAAGAAGCAGTTCGCGATGATCAAGTCAGTTTGTTCCAAATTGATTCAGAAGTTCTATTGCCAAAATGTCGATTCAAAGTACATACCATGATTGAGGAACCTCGCGATAGCTTCACAGAGGAATTTCTTCAGGCTGTTCAAGCAGTGCAACAAGCTCAGGAAATTGAACCACCACCTATTGACCCACTGGCAATTGAGGCCCAGCCTAGGGCCTTTCAAGAACTTTGGACACGATTTCATTTACAAACTGCACTTAACTCGACAAATTTGCCAGAGACTGTTCGCATTGAAAGTTGGTATCTTAATCATGTCACGTATCACAAGTGTCATTCTTCTAGACTGACCTTGCTCAATATTGATTTTCTCAGATGGCGTGAACAAATTGCCAACACGTGGTCGGACAAGGTCATTAATCCGAATGCACTGATTTTTGACCTTGTTGAGCCCATGCCTGAAGACAGTGCGACTGGCATTATTGCCCAATTAGTTCTGACTGAAGCTGACATGCCATTGAGAAAATCTGCAGTCTTATCTGTATATGACTCTGAAGAAGACTCAGAACGCAATCCCTACACTTTTGCGCTAGTCTTGCAGAGCAGGATCTCATTGTCCAGACTCCTTGACACACTCCATTTACAACTCGACTGTCCGCCTGTCAACATCAGAAACCTATGTAGCCTGTGGTTTGGTAGCATCCCAATTGGCAGCTCTCATGAAGTTTCCGTCCAGGCAGGGAATGCATATCGACTTGTATTGAGCAGAGGAGTATATCTAGATGTACCACATTTATTGACACTTGACAATGCTCAGCTCAGAGGAGTACTTCAAAGGGCAATCCATCTTGAAATTTATGATCGCCCACCTGATACCAGTTTTGTGTTTCCCATCGAAGCAACGGAACTCACTTTTGACATTCCGATTGACTCAAGACCCCCGTGGATCCCAATATTGGAACGACATTTCCAAACGAGACAAGAAATTTTTGATGTCAATGAACCACCCGCTCTCGCCGTCATGACTTGGTATTTAAACCAAGATGTGGATTATCACTGCAGCGCACCATGTCTTGTTCGCATTACGGACGAATCTTTCATGTGGAGGACTGATTGTATTTTTCCATGGCGCAACAGACTGATCCGTGCTGTTCCTGCTGACTTAGTTGCCTTACACCAGCTTGTTGCAGCATCAGCAGATGGGTCACCCAGACCACATGTTATTGTCACACAGGGTGTCTCACCTGAGAATTTTGCAGTACTTGTTACGGTTCAAGGCACTGATGGTTTGCAGCTTCCACATCGACAATTTGCACATCTTTTCCCGGGAAGAGTGTCGGGCAGAGATATTTTGAGACTGGCCGTCCATGCTGATCATGCTCACAGGCCTGTCATCATACAACTCGATGGTCAAACTTACTTCTCGGATGACACAATTGTTTTACAA